GCCGGGGCGGCAGAGCAACTGCCTGGATGGGAGCTACCCCGTCCCCCCACCCCAATTTATCCCCCGTCAGGCCACGAGCCATTACTTTATTCCAAGAGCTGCTCCAGTGGTTTTTGCATCCGGCATCCCAGGGATTGTCTCCCCAGCGCACTGGGGTTGAATTCCGCTCCCCTGGGCCCAGGACCCAACGCGCCCCGGGGGATGCTCCAGGCAGGTTTAGCCACGCAGGAGAGGCTTGTGTTCAGACCAACACGTCTGTTAATTAATTAGGGTGCGTCTAAACGAGCTCGAGGCTGCGGAGGATGCTCTAAAAACCAACAGGGACCTGCCAGAAGGCAGCACAAGGGAAGGGTGAGCTGCTGGCGTAGCCCTGACCTCAGCCGAGCGAACAACTGGGGGCTGCTGCTGAGCCCCCGACCCCACCCCAACCCTTTGAGGACCCCCGACAGCAGGGATGAGCATCCCTTGGTGAACATCACGGGATCATCATCCCCAGGCCAGGGATGAACATCCCTTGCAGCATCACCCGCGGGGCGGGGTGCCCCGGGGACGCCCACCCATCCCTAGCACCCACCAGCACGCTCCCACCCATCCCTTCGGGAAGGGCTTTGGCACCGGGGACCAGGCGTTTCTCTCCCCGTGACGTGACAAGGACCCTGCTGAAAGCCCCGGGGGAAGCGGCACCGTGCCCCCCGAGCCGCGTGCCGTGACCGAGGCGGCCAGGCTTCCCCAAAGGCTCTGGAGCTCCAGCCTGGCTAATTGGGCTGCTTCCAGATGGCCTGTTTCCGGAGGTAATCGATCCAATTTCTGCAAGAAAACTGGTCAGGGAAGCAGGCTAGATAATCACGATTTACTGGGTGGAAAATCAGATAAAGGAGGTTTCGGGAGGTAAAGGACATTGTGCAACTGATTCAGGGAAATGGAGTAAATCGATTCCATTGGAGAAGTGGCTTCTCCGAGCATTTCTTCAGATTTCCTTTGAATAAAGGCAGCCATGGGAACGTCTGCCACCTCCCTGGCCAGGTAGAACCGCGTGGACAGGGCGGCAGCCGTGGGCCGCGGGGTAAGGTCCCACGCGTGAGCCCAACACCGGGACTTCAACACACGCTCCAGCCACCCACCCACACGACTGCGTTCCCAACCGGTCCACCCGGAAAGGGGCCGAGCGCGCAGGTGCTGCCGAAGGGCACGTCACCAACACCCATCTTTGCCCATCAAGGGGGACGGCCCCTCGCGTGCAGCCCCCTCCTCATCACGTTGGGCGTGCTCGGGCGCCGTAAACCGCTTGTAACGCCACCCTTCTCTGCCACAAACCCCCCCCCAGGTACACCAAGATGAAGACGGCCACCAACATCTACATCTTCAACCTGGCGCTGGCAGACGCGCTGGCCACCAGCACGCTGCCCTTCCAAAGCGCCAAGTACCTGATGGAGACCTGGCCCTTCGGGGAGCTGCTCTGCAAGGTCGTGCTCTCCATTGACTACTACAACATGTTCACCAGCATCTTCACCCTCACCATGATGAGCGTGGACCGCTACGTCGCCGTGTGCCACCCGGTCAAGGCGCTGGACTTCCGCACGCCGGCCAAGGCCAAGATCATCAATGTCTGCATCTGGGTGCTCTCCTCCCTCATTGGGGTGCCCATCATGGTCATGGCGGTCACCAAGTCAAAAGGCAAGTGGTTTCTGGGAAAGGTCCCCTTCTGTCCCGTCCGTCCGTCCCGGGGCTGACCTGGCAAACCCACATCCTGCAGCAGGATTGAGCTCAGTGACGGACACGCCTCTGTGGGACCGTAGGCGTGAAAATCATCGCCGTGTTCTTTGCCATCTTGGCTGCAGAGTTTGGAAACCATCCCAGAAACTCCCCCTTCCCCGTCTCCAGTCCAACCAGTGCCTCTCCCCAGCTCCTGGGGTGCAAACCAGGTGCCCAAACCCACTCCTAGTGGTACTGCAAAGTCCCCAGCTGGGACTTCGGTGTGAGACACCAAGGTCATGGAATCATGGAATGGTTTGGGATGGAAGGGACCTTAAAGCCCCCCCAGTTCCACCCCCCCTGCCATGGGCAGGGACACCTTCCACTAGACCAGGTTACTCCAAGCCTCATCCAGCCTGGCCTTGGACATTTCCAAGGATGGGGCATCCACAGCTTCTCTAGGCAACCTGTCCCAGTGCTCCCCACCCTCTGCGGGAAGAATTCCTTCCTGATATCTAATCTAAACCTCCCCACTTTCAATTTAATCCCGTTACCTTGTCCCGTCGCTGCCTGCCCTTGGAAAATGTTCCCCCCAGCTTCCTTGCAGCTCCCCCCAGGCACTGGAAGGGGCTCCAAGGGCTCCCTGGAGATCGGCAGCTCCTGTGTGAGGACGCCAGCCCTTGGCACCCCTTTAACCAGCACGGGCGGCCCAGCCGTGGCCGAGCAGACAGCGGGCAGCATCGCCGGCTCCCTCTGATTGCCCTCTCTCCCGCAGATGGGAAGGTGCTCTGCACGCTCCAGTTTCCCGATCCGCCCATCTACTGGGACACCGTGACCAAAATCTGCGTCTTCATCTTCGCCTTCATGGTCCCCATCTTGGTCATCACCATCTGCTACGGGCTGATGATCCTTCGCCTGAA